ATCGAAATAATTGAAAATCAAAAGGCAATAATCGAAATCAAATTGAATCGCAAGGAATATGAATCGTTACACTAGTGAAACAACTGAACAGCATGGAAATTTTGATTTATTTCATTTTCAATCGAATGTGACCGACCGGTCAGCATGACCAGCAAGACAAAAGGTTGACCAGTCAACTCCCCAATCAGTCCGGACATTGTCCATTGACTGGTCGTTATTTCAAGCCCCTTTTCTGGGAAGCTGCCCACGTACCCCTCCCCTAAGCCTACATTAACACTTACTTCTCACTTTGGGCAAAATGTTGGCTTAGGAAAAGTGTAGGTGGGCAGTTTCCCAGAAACATATAATGATCCGAAAATGTTTTGGTCTCAGAGTACTGAACTCAGCTTTTTTTTAGCTCTACAGAGTTCCTAGGTTTTAAGCAAGCAATCAATCAATGTTTATTTTTGCTCACTCTTGCTCAAAAATATATTACAATAATGAAAATATTAGAAGTAGAAATTAGAGTACTGGCTGCCTGGAATAACCATGGGGTTAGCGGAGCCAGGCAGCCAGTTGACATCAGCATTAAATAAAATCAAATTACGTGTCAGCAAGAAAACTGAAGCACAAATGCACACATAAAAAGAAAAAGAGGAAAACCGCTATTTCTACGCTATGAAGGAAGTCTAAAATAGTTAAACTTATAAATGAATACAAAACAAAATAAGTGGCCAACATATACTTGAGAGCTGTTGCTGATACTGCCTGGTGAGGCTGTTCTGGTGTATGGGAACAGAAGTCACCAGCGTCAGAAGATATGTGTTAGAACAGGACCCAGGTATTACTGCTGGCTATGCTACAGGTGGTTTACGGGAACAAGGCTTACACATCTTAGTCATCTCATTATTTATTGGTCATTTTTGCTAATTATAATTATGCTATGTTATATATTCTACCTCTTGTGCATTGCAGGAACTAATTACTGGCGAAACCGTGTAATAAAAGTTGCTAGCGAGTTTAAAGGAAAAGTTCTCAACTTTGCCATAGCGTCTAAAGGAGATTTTCCACGAGTTTTGGAAGACATTGGCTCCAAAAGTGAGGACCAACATACTGTGCTTATTACAAGTGATGATGAAAGTAAATATGTCATGAAAGAAACTTTCAGGTACAGTATCCAACATAAGGGCACTTTTAATAAAAATAACAAGCTTTGAGAATAACAATAAGCGATAATATGCATTCAGAACAAACTTGGTCAAGCACAGCGTAGATAAGACATCTGAGACACTGCTGTACAGATTGTGCAGTGAATCCACCAATACAGTAATATGACATATTGTCAGTGGACACTTGCCCAGAAGGAATATGGGGAGGGTCACAAAATGGTGGCTCTACGGGTACATTGGGAGCTATGCAGGAAGTATGGATTACAGTGTACCAACAAGTGGTATGACCATCAACCTTGCCAGTTGCAGAGTATAGAGAAGTGAGGATAACTTGGGATATGACTATCTTTACGGACAAGCAACTGAAGCACAATCGTCCAGATTCTACTGTTGTACATAAAGACATAGTTACTGGAGTGGACACTTATTGACATTGCTGTGCCAGGGAATGAAAATATCCTTACTACTGAGGTGGAAAAGGTGAAAAAGTATCAAGACCCAGCCCTCGAAATTAAAAGACGCCACAGAGTCTTGAGAGTGGCAGTAATACCCTTCTTGATTAGTGTGCTTGAAACTATCTCGAAGAATGCAATGGCCTGGTATGGGAAGTTGAGTCTACCCGCCATTTTTGGAAGTGCACAGTTGTCAGCCATCCCTGGTACTGCTCATATCTTGCTGAAAGTGTTTTGCCTCTGAGCTGCAGGAATGTTACTGAGACATGGCTGAGATTACCCAGAAAATAACAAAGAACAAGAGAGGATCACACAACAGTAATAATAATAATAATCATAATAATCGTAATCATAATAATAATGATAATGGAAACTTTATTTGTGTTTTTGAATGTACAATTGTAAATCTTGCTATGTATAGGCAATTTACAAATACTGCCTGAGATTGGATTATTCAAAAAAAAAAAAGAAGGAAAGAAAATAAAAATTGCGTCAAGTCTGGGCTATCCCAATTAACGACAATAATAATAATAATAATAATAATAATAATAATAATAATATTAGCGGTATAATATGTCCTCTGGGGTAGGACAGGCTGGTGCTCTAGCTTAACCCACCAGAGTCTGATAGTGATGCCCTTAGCAAGCATCAGTAACCCCAAAGCCCAAAGCCACACTCGTTAAAGTTAAGAGAAGAAGAAGAAGAAGAAGTTAGTGTGTTGGGAAAAGTTGGTGACATTTGGAGTGATGGTGACTATGATTTGTCTTAAGAGGATAAGACAATTCTTGATGAAATATCTGACAGGATCGTCTTTTAAGAAACTAGAAAAGAAGAGGCTAAAGGAAGGTACACTGAAAGAAGACAGAATAGTAAAAAACAACAACACAGCAAACATGAGTG